CCACATCACTTGCAACTTGGACCAGTTGCTGAGTTGGGGAGGGTCCTTATAAAGGTTTATGGGAATCGAGGAGAAAATAGTCGCAAAGAGGTCTTATTTGTGGCACGTGATCAAGAGTGAGCGGCTTCTTGGAATGGTTTCTTCAACGATCGGAGCGGTGTTCAGCTACAACGATCGGATGGCCTAGTGGATAGCGTGGAGGATTCTCAATCAGGCAATGAGGGTGGTGTTGGTTCGCTCCTCTAGGCGTGCAAGCTTTTGCATTTTTTTAGTTTCGCTATAGTTTCGCTGTCCATAAATGTCTGTGCATGAGTATAACATGGAAATGCATTGTAGGATCAGGTGCATTTTTTCCTTGTCTCTTACATTTATTTTTGCTCTACCATTGCTTAGTAGTTTCATAGAAATGCTCTTGAGATTTCCTCATCGTTTCTAGAATTCGTAGTGTATGTTCGTTTAATGGTTATGCCTCTTTATGTTTAATTACCCAAGTTTGAGGTTCGAATAAATCTCAACGATCAACCGCGTGGCAAAGCAGGCAATATTACACATGGTATTTGCCATTTATGGGCAAATTCTTAACGGTAGTACCCCGTGAGTCGGTGTTATTCTACTATTACAATTTTTTCACACCATTAAGCAAGGCTCTACTGAAAACTTGATTTTTATGCGTAAAGACATGATGATTAATATGATACTTTACTTAAGCTGTGGTACCATGTTTCCCCGATTTGGATCAACACCATCTCCCACTGGATTCAGTATGTACACTCATATAGACGTTTAGCGCCGTCAAAATGCGTCAGCGCCCGAAATAGTGTCAGAATCGTGATCAGGACCATCGATTACCTCTATAGACAAAGTTTCGACCAAAAGTTTTTTCGACCTTTTTGGGTCTTATGTATTGGGTTGTGCACACGAGCCTTTCAACTAAAGTCGTACTTTGCCTGTTCAAAACCTTCCTATTTACTGATAAATAAACATGAAACTAACAGCAACAATAACACCGTTGAAAAAAAAAATTTAATAATCCCTATGGGTGCATTCGGAAGTGGAAAGTTGAATGAATCTGTTTTGTCGATAGGGGAGAATAACACCTTTGTCGAGCAAGGATCTGCTAGGGGTCAACAAATTTCCACCATTGTTCACGTATTCCACAAGCATCCGAGCTTATAGCATGCCCGGCGGCTCACTATGTCATGCTTACGTCATCGCCGCTACGAAGGTGTGAGAGTCCAGTCATCATCGTCGACCAAGTGGTCTGCCACAATGCGAAAACGTCGAAAAATTGTTTTCGATGCCTTGTCTATAGAGGTAATCGGTGGTCCTGATGCTGACAATTACGGCGCTGACGCATTTTGACGGCAGAGTAGCACGTCACTTATATGGGTGTACATAATGCAATTCAGTAGGAGAATGATGTGGATCCAAATCGGAGAAACATGTCACCACAGCTCAAGTGAAGTATCACGTTGATCATCATATCCCTACATATAAAAATCAGTTTTCAGTAGCAGCCTTGCTTAATGGTGTGAAAAAATTGTAAAGTAGAATAACACCGACTCACGGGGTACTACCGTTAAGAATTTGCCCATAAATGGCAAATATCCATGTTATACTCATGCACAGACATTTATGGAAGCGAGAATAGCGAAACTAAAAAAATGCAAAAGCTCGCACGCCTAGGGGAGTCGAACCATCAACACCACCCTAATGCCTGATTGAGAATCCTCCACGCTATCCATCCGAT